AAAATAAATCCATATTCTTATGTTCTATATTCTATTTGACAGGACTGAAAATGAAATGGTTGGTTTCACTATAATAATCTTTCTACCTAGGCTTTTGGGAAGCTGAATTCCAAACTATTTGCAGAGCAAACAAGGAAGCAGTGATTTCTACAAGCCACAATTACCATAACTTCTAGCAGCATTTTTTCCTATATAAATTACTGTCATAAAAAAGACACATTCCATTTTTAAAGAAAGAAAATATTTAATTTCCAATGACAGCATTAAGCACATTTCAATTTCCACTTGTGTTTCAAAAAGAAGCAAATTAGAAATTAAGCTCTTAATAACTCACAACATAAACTCTAAAGACTTTGTTAAGACTAGCAAGCTATTATGGATTTAGAAGTAAACACACTCCAGCCACAATCTGCACTGGCATTTCAGATCAAACCTGAGCTGTGATGAGATGTGCCTAGGCAGGAATTGAAAACATATAGCTATCTTAGTAACTTCACAGAAGTAAACCTGATGACACCAGGCTTCATGCAAGCATACGAGGCAAAAGAAATATCTAACCTGCCTTTGTATACATTAAGTGGCTGCTCCCCAGCTGTAGAAAACCCTAAAAGAAGTGAGTTATATAGAGCCTTGACCATTAGGTTTCAGGTCAGAGTGCAACATGGAACTAGTTGCCCTTGTGGATGACCTATGAGTGACCAGCTTCAAAGAGAAATGCAACCCTGTTGATTCTTTATGTACTTTCAGCAACTTTCAATACCATAAACCTAGGTATCATTGACATCATCTCCAAGTGATTGGAACGGGGAACAGTGTCTATCAGTGACTGTCCATTTTCTAGCTGATAAGAAGAAAGATTTCCAGACTTCTCTGCCCAGTGGAGTTCCTTAGGCTCTCATTTTTATCATATATGGGGAAACTAGGGGACATTATCTGCCAGCACAGAGCTGGTATCATTAATTTGCAAATCAGCTGTATGATTTTTAGGGCAGTCTCATATGCTATCAGTGAACAATATATTCTGAGTCAAAGCTTGTTAACCACATTATATGTATAATATAGTATGGAATATCTTTATTTCTATGTATTTATTTTACAAGATCTAGAAGCTAGTCAACTCCATAGTGTATGTGGATAGCTTACATCAAAAATATGCATCTTTTCCACAAGCTTCATAGGTGATATAATAGAAATGCTGACAGAATAGCCAGAGGTTGTCAGGAACTGGGTGTGGAGGAACAGACTTCCAAAATTGTGGCATTTAGTTTATGAACCTAACAGGGAAATTCCACCTTTGACTCTGAATGGGAAGTTGTGCTTCTCAGCTCAGAGGTGATCCAGAATTTGGGTTTGTTTTTTGTTTTTTTGACTATTCGAACCGAGAAATCCTGCTCATGCCCTAGTTAGGTCCTGTTTGGATTATCATAACCTGCTCTATAGGAGAGCACTCAGAAACTGCAACTGAAACACAAGGTAGCCGCCCAAGCAGTGATGGATATGTCTCAAGATATTCTGATGATCCCACCAGCTTCATACTCCTAGTTCTAATCCAAGCACACCTGCTTGCCATTTTCTGAATCAGTATGCATAATTTACAGGCAAAAATTAAACTTTTGTACATACAGTTCAAAATATTGTGTGTTCTTATTGGTGTGCAACCATAATTATCTTTTGAAGTTATTGTGGGTCCGCAACCTGAAGAATTACTCTCTGCAGAAATAATTATAACAGCAACTGCTTAGAGTAGTAAGAACATAGCCCATGTAAAACAAGAAGCATTCCATCTGATGCCGTTCAAGAAAGGGATTGTGACTAGATTGTGGCTCAGCTGAATTTCTGCCCAGTTTACTTCCTACCATCTAAACATAATTGGGGAAGGTTCTGGTCTAAATTGTTTTTCTAAGCTCTCTATGTTATTTAAAATTTTCTTTGAAGTTGAGGATAGCATTCCATCTTTCCATTTTCAATGAAGGTATAATTTCTACAGATAGAATGAATCTTTTTATACAGAGTCTACATACATGGTGTTTGGCTAATAGGCCTCCAAATCAGCTGTATGATTTTTAGGGCAGTCTCATATGCTATCAGTGAACAATATATTCTGAGTCAAAGCTTGTTGACCACATTATATGTATAATATAGTATGGAATATCTTTATTTCTATGTATTTATTTTACAAGATCTAGAAGCTGGTCAACTCCATAGTGTATCTGGATACACTATGAAAAAACAATGAAAAAGGAACATCTCATATATCAAGACAAATACCCCCTACTGTAGAAAGTGTAGCCAATACAATGTGTACAATGATTAAAACAATTACAGATTTGAAAGGTTTCTGTCAATTACTATATAACTAAGAGCATATTAGTGTCTATGGAGATTCTCAGTCATCCAGATCATAGTTGTCCCAAAGGTGCTTTTTTTTAAAAAAAAGAGGCTGGACTTTCTGGTTTTTCTTTAAAGTCATTTCATTTTTCAGTCCAGTTGCCTCTTAAAAAAAAAAGCACCTTTGGGACAAGAGTTTATTTGCTCATTCTTCTTTTATTTCATATCCAAGAATTAATTTTCCTCATATTAATCTTATGATCATACAGGGAACCTGAACAAACAACACTTATTAATTACCCCAAAGATATTAACAATACATTTTTTCCTTATACAGAAAAGAATTACAAAAATGCATACTACATCCATATAAATAAATAGGCATAAATTCCATGAATTCGTTAACATAGAACTATGTAGATTTATCTCTAAATTTAATCTTAATTAATAAGGTATTCAATTTATCATGAATATGTTTTTCTCTGTGGAGTTATTAAACAACATGTAATTTTGCCTCCCAGAGTTGCCCTCTCAGAGAGATCAGCGGCATATAAATTTAATAAAATTAATAAATAATGACAGATAAGTAGGTTAGCATTGTTTTGCTGTTTTGAATTTATCTTGGCCTTGTCCGATAACAGTCAAAACAGGCTTCTCACTATGTAGTTAAAGGTTGATTTGAATTGATTTGACTGTGTACTTATCAGGCTTTAATAAATAAAATTTAAATCTATTTTTTTCCAGAGAGTTCTTAATATTCTATATTCAGATCAAAGCTGTTATTGGCTATTGGCATTTCTGTTAGGCAAAACAAAACAAAAAGAAAAACCATGGTGATGTTAAGGAATGATGATGATTTGTTGGCTATCTGCCTATGCTGATTATATTTGGTTTCTTATCTGTATTGCCTAGTTTTATACTCTTTTAAACTGGTATATATATTATGTGGTTTTTAAAAGTTCATTATTATGACCATTCTTTTAAAATTTGTTACAATATGAGAAGGAAGAGGAGAAGAAGCTGTTATATCAGCACTAGTAAGGCATGAAATGAGGTCCACCTTTTTACGAAAGTGGAATAATGGGGTAAAACAGAGCAGAGATATCATAACAGAGTTACAAATGCTCTGCGATATTAATTGTATATTTTACGTCCTGAAGTTAACCACAGAAATATATTTCTGATCAAACATTGCGCAGGATTACAATGTTAGAATGATGGTAAAAGATAAGAAAAGAAACTAAGAAATTAACAAGGTATTGATATGTATTTGCTTCTCTCTATAGTTCATAAAGTCCTTGCCTTTCTAAATTCATTGTAATTCTGAAAACTTTCATTCAACTGGCACTGACACAAGTCATCCCAAGTTAAAAGTGAACGTGACTTCTTCATTTGTATAGTGTATGGATCCAGTCCATCTAAAGATCAAGTTTCCCCAGACCTGTTTCTTGAGATCATTTTTAAATAAAAGGGGGGGGGTTAAGTTGGGGGAATTTCAATCTTTTGCTTGGAAATCAATCTAGCTAGATGAGATGGATTCAGAACTTTGATTGCAAGCTAGATTAATTATTGTAAAGTGACCATTTAGATTTCACGAATAAAAAGAGAGAGATTTGCATGAAAATTGTATTTTTCTAATTCATACATAGAAATCAAACTTCAAAAATAATGAGTAGGTCTTAAGAATCTACCAGTCTTTTCAATAGCAACCAAGATCTGATGACACATGTCCCAAACAGGGCAAATTCAACCGTCTTTCCTGTTCCGGACTAGCAGGCTCGTAATCCTGCAAACCTGATTCATCCGTCAACAGCGAGTCGTGATTGGTCGCTCCGGGCTGATCCGATTGGCTGGTTAACGGGCTGCCGCGATTGGACACTCCAAGTGTGGTAAGCTTAAATCATTGTCATTGGACGTTTCGGCAGCAGCCAGCTCTATAAAAGGAGCTGCTGCTGCCAGGTTCATTGCTCTGATCTGAAGTCACTATTAAAGAGTTGAAGTTACTATCCGAGGTCTCGTCTCCGTTATTACGCCCATCCTCCCAGACATAACACTGGCGATGAGGATGGGATGCGGAGACGATAGAGCTGACTGAGCACTCGCAGAATATTGACAGAGCACGTGGCTGAAGGCGCACAGACATCGGCAGAATGGCCAGCAGCACTATACCACCCGCCCCGTTTGATCCAGCCAGCGAAGACTGGGACTCATATATGGACAGGTTTCAAATGTTCCTGGAATCTAACAATCTGAAGGATGCCACGTCTAGCAAAAAACGTGCGGTTTTCCTAACGCATTGCGGACCCGCCGTTTTCAGAATGGCAAAGGCGCTTGCCAAACCAGCTGAAGTCAAAACGATGGACTGGGATACCCTTGCTCCCATCCTTCGTTCCCATTACGCTCCAGCAGTTCCTACCCTTATTAGAAGACACGAATTTTACCAGAGGGACCAACGCGAAGGTGAGAACATCGGGGACTTTGTAGCTGACCTAAGAAATTTGGGTGGACTGTGTGGCTTCACAAACCTAGAAGAAGCCATGAGAGATCGGATTGTTCTTGGCCTAAGAGACCCCACTGTCCAGAGCAAGATTATGGCAAAGGGAGACATCACCCTCGCAGATGCCATAGCAGATGCCACTGCAGCGGAAGCCACCCGCAAATCAGCAGCCCGAATGCGCCGAGCGAATGGGGCCAGCTGCCAACCCACCAGCGACACGGCAATATCATCAGAAAAATACACATCATCCAGCCACCATGAAGACATCGATTCCTCATTGGATAGCGAGGAGGAAGAAGTCAACAGACTCAGGTCAGAGCGCGAGCAGCGAGACCAGAGGGGTCGTAAATCCAATTTTCAATGCGCCGGATGTGGGGGGAACCACCCACGATCAGAATGCAGGTTCCTAGATGCCATCTGTCGTTCCTGTGAGAAAAGGGGCCACATTGCTAAAGTGTGCCGGAACAAAAGAGGATCCAGCCCCAAGAGAAAAGAAAATAACTTCCGACAAGCAGCAGGCACCCCACCAACAAATCGGGACCGCCTGAACAACCAGTGGAGCCAGTACAACAGAAACCGGATGTTTACTGGCGTAACCAGACAGGAAGAGGCACATCAGACCATCACCATCGGCCACGCTTCATCATTAGATGCAAAAAAAATTCAGGTAAAGGTCACCATTGAAAATCATCCATGCATCATGGAAGTGGACTCCGGGTCTTCCCTATCCATGGTCTCCTGGAAAACCCTCAAGCAGCTGATCCCTGACATCCGCCGCCAGGATCTCAGCACCCAGAGACTTATATTAAAGGACTACCAGGGCAATCGAATCCCGGTTGTTGGTTCCAGTCACGTCCAGGTCTCCTTTAAGGACCACACTGCAATACTACCCCTCACCATCGTTGACAGAGACCGGCCCAGCTTATTGGGTCTTCAATGGTTCGCGCCATTAGGAATCAAAATGGCAGGCATCAACCAGACTGTAGACGAAGACTGGGAGGCGGCCCTCGTCCGTGACTTTCAAGAAGTCTTCACTGAACAATTAGGCAAGTACAAAGGTTCCCCTATCTCATTTAATCTCTGCCCTGATATCGCACCCATTCGCCTAAAGACACGCCGAGTTCCCTTTGCTCTCAAACCAAAAATTGACGAGCAATTGGACAAATTAATAACACAAGGCATGTTAGAACCCATCGACCACGCCCGATGGGAGACCCCAATTGTAGCTTCCCATAAAACCTGACGGATCTTTGAGAATTTGTGGGGATTACAAGGCTACCCTCAACCACGCGTTACAGCAGAGCGCCTATCCAGTACCCATGGTCCAACATCTCCTTCACTCACTTGGGGGCGGAAAGGTATTCGCAAAACTTGACCTAGCCCAAGCTTATCAACAGCTGCCAGTAGACGCAGAAACCGCAGAAGCCCAAACCATAGTTACGCACAGGGGTGCGTTCAAATGTAACAGACTCCAGTTTGGGGTAAGCGTAGCACCTGGCATTTTTCAAAGTTTGATGGAAAGGTTGTTGCAGGGCATAAAAGGGGTCGTGCCCTACTTTGATGACGTATTGATAGCCGCCCCTACAAGAAGTCAGTTAGAAAAACGCCTGAGAACTGTTCTACAAAGATTCAAAGACGCAGGCCTCAAGGTTAAGAAGGAAAAGTGCCAGTTATTCACTGAGAGGGTTGAATTTCTTGGCTACCTTCTGGACAAACAAGGAATTCACCCTACTGAAAAGAAATTGGCTGCTATTAAAAATGCCCCAAGACCAAAGAACAAAACAGACCTCCAAGCCTTCCTGGGACTAATTAACTTTTATAACATCTTCCTACCCCAGAAGGCGACCGTTGCTGAACCCCTGCATAGGCTCCTCGACAAGAAGGCTTCCTAGTTTTGGGGACGTCGGGAGGAGCAGGCTTTCCAACAAGTAAAAGACCTTTTAACTTCGGATGCAGTACTCATCCAATATAATGAGACACTTCCATTGACTGTGACTTGCAACGCCTCACCTTTTGGGGTAGGAGCCATCCTGAGCCACGTCCTACCAAACGGTACAGAGGCGCCTATTGCATTCTTTTCTAGAACTTTGTCTAAAACAGAGAGAAACTATAGTCACTTAGATAAAGAAGCCCTCGCTATTGTATCTGCAATCAAAAGGTTCCACGAATACGTGTATGGAAGATCCTTTTCCATCATCACAGATCATAAGCCATTACTTGGCATCTTGGCAGGGGACAAACCAACTCCACACATCCTATCTCCAAGGATGACATGATGGTCGGAGTTCTTAGCCGCCTACGACTACCAGTTGAGACACCGACCAGGGAAAACCATCCCCCACGCAGACGCTTTGAGCCGTTCTCCACTGCCAGAGTTCCTAGATGACCCAGCTCCCACACTATCAACACTACAAATCGAGACGCTTCCCTCACCTCCACTAACCGCACAAGACATCGCATTGGAAACAAAAAGAGACTCTTGTTTGGCATGGGTTCTCAGCTGGGTGGAGAGGGGATGGCCAGAAATCGAACCCAACGACACCTTTAAACCCTTCAAAAACAGACAAACAGAACTTTTCTCCCAAAAAGGGTGCGTGTTGTGGGGAGACCGAGTGGTCATACCAGAGAAACTACAAAAGAAAGTTCTAAATTTACTACATGATGGATACCCGGGCATCATACGAATGAAAGCGCTGGCAAGGAGCTACGCCTGGTGGCCAGGTATGGACAAACAAATTAAAGCCTGGGTTGCCACCTGTAGCAAATGCCAAGAAACACGCTCGGCCCCACCAAAAGCATCACCAGCAGAATGGGAAACGCCCAGGGGTCCATGGTCCCGCATCCACATCGATTTCGCGGGACCTACAAAAGGACATACTTTTCTAATAACAGTAGACGCCTACTCGAACTGGCTTGAGGTTAACAAGATGAAGATTACCACTACAGAGGCAGTCATCAAGAAATTGAACAGACTGTTTGCAACGCACGGGCTACCAGATGTCTTGGTTTCCGACAATGGCCCGCAATTTACTGCCTTGGCCTTTGAACAATACCTAGCAAACCGGGGAATACGCCACGCCTTGACATCAACCTGCTCACCCGGCGGCCAATGGCAGGGTTGAACGAATGGTTCAGTTCACCAAAAAAACTTTACAAAAAATGGAACAAGGAAACATCCACGACAAAGTCACCAGGATGCTCTTTCTTCAGCATATTACACCAAACAGCACCACAAACAAAAGCCCAGCCGAGCTCCTGATGGGCAGAAAACTCAGATTGCACCTAGACCACCTACATCCTGCATACACCCCAGAAAAGCCCCTGGGTTCCAGCAGTAAACACCGTACGTTTAAGGTAGGAGACCCCGTATTTGCAAAGAACTTTTCAGGTGACCCATTGTGGATCCCTGCCAAAATAACGCAAATTACAGGCCCCCGTTCCTACCGGTTAGAAACCACAGATGGGAGACTGTGGAAACGCCACATCGACCAGCTGCGCTCAAGGTTGACCACAACCCCCATCACAAGCCCCGATCTCGAAGCCAGAGGGGGAAGGGTTTTGAAATTGAACCAACATCTGGCTCAGAAAACATAACCCCACAACCAGCACAGCAAAGCCCACTATATTCACCAACTGAGGAAGAACCTTGGCAGATGGTCATCTCTCCAGGTAACAGCAGCCAAACAGGGTCAGCAAATCCGGAGAACCCAGACGACAGGAATGAAGGAAGCGTTGCAGGTATCCCCGGATCACCTCCAAGAATACCCAGTGTAGAAGCCAGGTCACCACTACAGACAAGCTCGGTAAGCAGTCCGTCAGAACCAGAAACTGAGCAAAGACATTTTGAACAACGCAAATCAGGTAGACAGGTGCGAAGACCCGCCTACCTGCGGGAATACATCACCCCACTCCTGAGATGGAACCTAGAGGGGAGGGGTGTTCCGGACTAGCAGGCTCGTAATCCTGCAAACCTGATTGGTCCGTCAACAGCGAGTCGTGATTGGTCGCTCCGGGCTGATCCGATTGGCTGGTTAACGGGCTGCCACGATGGGACACTCCAAGCGCGGCAAGCTTAAATCGTTGTCATTGGACGTTTCGGCAGCAGCCAGCTCTATAAAAGGAGCTGCTGCTGCCAGGTTCATTGCTCTGATCTGAAGTCACTATTAAAGAGTTGAAGTTACTATCCGAGGTCTCGTCTCCGTTATTACGCCCATCCTCCCAGACATAACATTTCCTTTTTTATGACAGTTCTTAATCTGTAAATCAGATCTGAACTGGGCAAACCTTCTAATAGAGCAGTCCTGAAAATGCAGAACAAACCTCTTATTGTTGTTGTTGTTTTTAAAATGACAGAATGACATTTTTCCCCACTAAAATTTGTATTAATCAGACACCTGTTGCTTTTCCTCTCTAGTCAGCTCCATTGTATTTCTAAATGACCGAAGGCAGAGCAACTAAAAAAAAAAAAAGGCGCACAGTTTCCAATCCATTTATTTCACCTCACAGAAGAAGCATCATTTGCTTTTGTTGCTCCACAGCCTTCCTGATTTATCAGTTATGGGAGGCCATACGTTTGCTGAATTTCCCATCCATACTGGGGACGTTGCCTGGGCTCCAATTGATTGCTTTTCCCTGTTTTTCATATTGGCTATTGAATTTACCACGATGGGTTTTTCTAGAGGCAATTTTCTCTTTCTCCATTTGATTTTGTCTTCCGAAACTGAAAGCACAAGTCTAAAATTTGCAGTTTGGCTGGGAATTCGATCGCTTGCTTACTTCCCTTGTACCTCTTTCACTGCATTTTCCATTGGCAGCCATCTGCTCGTTCCACACTCAGTTAGTCCATTTTTATAGTAACTCATTTAAATGGAAGACAAGTCATATTAATAACGTATATCAATCCAGAGGACTTAATCTCTTGCTCATTTTTTTTACAAGTCTGCCTTATTCAGACATAAGCTGATAAGATTACAAGTGCTAAAACAATCTGTGAAATGATGCATGGACTTTTAAGCAAATTAATAAGTGCCTGGGAGCAATGATATATATAATCACTGAAACACCTGAATCTTTCACAGTAGATAGAGCCTGCGAGCTTCTTTTTTATCTGTTTAATTATAGTGAAGGGGATAAATTGTTGGCATTGCTGGGAGAGAGAAAAAGCCAGCTTAAAATGTACAGCCTTTCTTTGAGACAATACACTTCCTACCCTCTTAAATATTAAAGTTTGATGCTTTAATATTTAATCAATGGGCAGTCTACCTATTTCATATCACTGGGGTCTCAGTACAACCTTCAGCTAGTTTTAATAGACATCACAATTTACAAAAAAGTGGGGATTGTGAAGTCATCGTTCAGCTAAGAGCCATAGGGCATAATATACCATATGGGTCAAAAGCGCACATCCTAGAGGAACCACTGAACTAGAAATGTGTCTTTGTTATTAATCCAAAAATTGCATTTTTGAACATATATTGCTGACAGTATGAGCCTTCCATCTCCCCCACCCAGCCTTGTGATAAATTTCACTGAAAACAAGATTCCTCCTTTTATTTACATTCTTTCCTTCCACCCAACAGTGCAGCTGTCTAACTCAGTTCCAGCTGTAATGGTCAGATTGGTCTTGAATGTTTGTGCCAGTGCTCTAATACAGTAAACACCTCCCATAATATAATATTCCATCTCTGGATTCACTTTGGAAATTGTGTTCCTTATGAGTAAAAGAAACTTTACAAAGTCATCCTGAAGGAAGTTGATCAAGTCAAATTGAAACAGTTAACAGGTGAAATTTAGAAGCTTGGTTATTGACTGAAGATTTAAGTAACCATTGTCTTTGCTACATTTTTGGGAAGCCCCTAATGGGTAATATAAAACCCAGCCATAAATAGTAAATGTCACACATCTCTAATTACAGGTAGTCCAATTGAGTCCAAATAGGTGAATAGGCAGCAATATAAATAACATACATACATACATACATACATACATACATACATGCATACATACAATTCCGTTGCTACAGAAGATAGTTGTTAAGTGAGTTTTGCCCCATTTTACAACTTTCCTTGCCACAGTTGTTAAGTGAATCACTGCAGTTATTAAGTAACATGATTGTTAAATGAATCTGGCTTCCCCATTGACTTTGTTTGTCAGAAAGTTGCAAAAGGTGATCACATGACCCCAGGACACTGAAAAATGCATGCAAGTTGCCAAGCATCTGAATTTTGATCATGTGACTATGGGGATGCTGCAATGGTTATGAGTGTGAAAAACAGACATAAGTCACTTTTGTCAGTGCTGTTGTAACTTCATGCAAAAGCTCTACATACGGACCATTACCAAAAAAAGAAGAAGAAATCATAGAGAGGGGATTGAAGACAGAACAGGTTTAAGAAAGAAATTGTGATGACCTGGGACGTGGCACAAAGGCAACACAGTCAGAGAATCCAGTCCAAAACGTGGTCAACAAAAACTGTAACTATAAGTTCAATCAAAGCAAAATGAGGTAATTAGTTCAGCAGAGCAGGAGCAAGA